TGAATGAAATTGCATTCTTAATTCGGCTCTCAGCCTGAAGTCTGAACAGTGTTGGAATATAGAAATGCTACTGATTTTTGTACGTTGATTTTGTATCCTGAAACTTTGCTAAAGTTGTTCTTCAGATGTAGGAGCTTTTGCACTGAGATTATGGGGTTTTCTAGGCATAGAATCATATTGTCTGCAAACAGAGAGTTTGACGTCCTCTCTTTCTGTTTGAATGTCTGGGTGTCTTTTATTTCTTTCTCTTGCATGATTACTGTGGCGAGGACTTCCAGTACTATGTTGAATAGGAGTCGTGAAAGTAGGCATCCTTTTTTTGTTCTGGTTCTCAAGGGGAATGCTGCCAGCTTTTGCCCATTCAGTGTATGATGCTGGCTGTGTGTCAGAGATGGCTCCTATTGTTTTGAGGTATATTTCTTCAATGCCTAGTTTGTTGAAGGTTTTTAACATGAAGTGATGTTGAATTTTATTGACAGCCTGTTCTGCATCTATTGAGATGATCATGTGGTTTTTATTTTTATTTCTGTTTATGTGCTGAATCACATTTACTGATTTGCATATGTTGAACCCACCTTGCATCCCAGGGATAAAGCCTACTTGATCGTAGTGAATTTGCTTTTTGATGTGCTGCTGGATTTGACTTGCTAGTATTTTGTTGGAGATTTTTGCATCTATGTTCATCAAGGGTATTGTCCTGAAATTTTCTTTATTTATTGTTGTTGTGTTGCTGCCAGGTTTTAGTATCGGTATGATGCTGGCCTTATAGGATGAGTTAGGAAGAAGCCCCTCCTCCTCAATTTTTTGAAGTAGTTTCAGTAGGAATGGTACCAGCATTTCTGTACCTCTGGTAGAATTTGGCTGTGAATCTGTTTTGGTTCTGGGTTTTTTTCTGGTTGGCACGGCTTTTATTACTAATTCAATTTCAGAACTCATTATTGATTGGTTCAGGGATTCAATTTCTTACTGGTTCAATCTTGGGAGATTATATGTTTTCAGGAATTTATCCATTTTTTCTGGGCTTTCTTTTTTTTTCTTTTTTCTTTTTTTGAGATAGAGCTCACTCTGTGGCCCAGGCTGGAGTGTAGTGGCATAATCATGGCTCACTGCAGCCTTGACCTCCTGGGCACAAGTGATTTCCCACCTCAGCCTCTCATGTAGGTGAGACTACAGGCATGCACTACCATGCTTGGCTTTTTGTTGTTGTTGTTGCCGTTGAGATGGGGTTTCACCATGTTGCCCCAAGTGGTCTCAAACTCCTCGGCTCAAGTAATCCTCCCACTTTTGCCTCCCGAAGTGCTGGGTTTACAGCTGTGAGTCACTGTGCCCAGCTTATTTCTTCTAAGTATTCCAATTTGTGTGCATAGAGGTGTTTGTAATAGTCTCTTATTTTGTATTTCTGTGGGGTTAGTGGTAATGTCTCCTTTGTCATTTCTAATTGTGTTTATCTGGATCTTCTCTCTTTTTTCTTTATTAGTCTAGCTAGTAGTCTTATCAATCTTATTTATTCCTTCAAATAGTTAACTCCTGGAATCATTGATCTTTTGTATGTTTTTTTGTGTCTCAATTTTATTTAGTTAAACTCTGATTTTGGTTATTTCTTGTCTTCTGTTAGCTTTGGAGTTGGTTGGCTCTTGTTTTATAGTTTCTCCAGGTGTAATGTTAGGTTGTTAATTTGAGATCTTTCTGACTTTTTGATGTGGGTATTTAGTGCTATAAACTTTCCTCTTAACACTGCTTTAGCTGTGTCCCAGAGGTTCTGATATGTCGTATCCTTGTTCTGGTTAGTTTCAAAGAATTTCTTGATTTCCACCTTAATTTCATTGTTGCCCAAAAGTTATTCAGGAGAAGGTTGTTTAATTTCCATGTAATTGTATGGTTTTGGGTGATCTTCTTAGTATTGATTTCTATTTTTATCATGCTGTGGTTCAAGAGTGTAGTTGGTATGATTTTGGTTTTTTTGAATTTTCTGGGAATTGTTTTAGGCTGATTGTGTGGGTCGATTTTAGAGTGTGTGCCATGTGTAGATCAGAAGAATGTATATTCTGTTGTTTTTGGGTGGAGAGTTCTGTAGATGACTGTTAGGTCCATTTGGTTAAGTGTTGAGTTCAAGTCCTGAATATCCTTGTTATTTTCCTGCCCTGATGACCTGTCTATAATGTCAGCCAGGTGTTGAAGTCTCCTATTGATAGTGTGTGGTTATCTAAGCGTCTTTATAGGTCTCAAGAACTTGTTTTATAAATCTGGGTGCCCCGTGTTTGGCACATCTGTATATATTAATATTTAGAATATTTAATTCTTCTTATAGAAGAGAACACTTTACCATCATGTAATACCCTTCTTTATCTTTTTTGATAGTTGTTGGTTTAAATTCTGTTTTGTCTGAAATTAGAAATAGCAAGCCCTGATTTTTTTTTTCTGTTTTCTGTTTGCTTCATAGATTTTATTCTCTATCCCTTTACTTTGAGCCTGTAGATGTCATTGCATGTGAGATGGGTCTCTTGAAGACAGCATACTGTTGAGTCTTGCTTTTTTATCTAACTTGCCACTCTGTGCCTTTTAAGTGAGGTAGTTAGCCCATTTACATTCAAGATTAATATTGATATGTATGGATTTTTTTTCTATTATTGGAAAAGACCTAGGGGTAAAGTGATGGAAAGGGAGATGCCTATTTACAACAACAAAGAGTATACCACCAGTGACACTGAAAAATAAATCCAGTTTTATATCAGTTATCACTGAATACAAAGAAAACAGCAACATAAAATTAATTACCATGATAGACAAAATAGAACAGTAATCCTAGAAGAAAACTGCTAAATAAGAGAACAGAAGACTTTTTTTTTTGTTTTTTGTTTTTTGTTTTTTTTTTAATCCTCTGCTTAATATGCTTGGAGAGGTTCAAGAAGGTTTTGTGTCTATAAAATGAGAACATTGAGCTATGAAAAAGGAACAATCATAGAATATAAAAGAGCTCTTGGAAATTAAGCATCTTTTCCTAAAATTAAACATTTTAAAGAATTGAAAGATAAATATATATCCTGTAACATGAAAATAAAGAATACAAAGACAGAAAAGTTAAGCAGAGAGAATCATCCAAGGAAGTACAATATATTACTACTGTCATAACAAGATTCAGAAATAGACATTATCATGTGTGTATCTTATTGATAGAAATAAATGAATGCAAATCCATGTCAAAAGAAGTTCTTCATGCACTTGTTTTAAATTTGAATGAGTTCTTCTCTCCTCATGTAGAATATGGGTCTTAGGATTACAGATTCACTCATTTGATAGTTTCATGGCTTATGAAACATGCTGACAAAATTAAAATCATGTTAATCTTAACCACTGTCAAGGCCAAAACACAGTTGGGGTACAGACCAGGAGGTCTCATAGGAAGGATATCACAAGGAGTGATCATATCTGATTTCAATGCTGAGAAACTTGTGCCTGCCTCCACTCTCCTACTCTGGGCATAGGCACTTAAACACTGCCGTCCCCAAAAATAATCCAGTAATTTCCATCAAATATTTGCCTGGATTGTTCCTCACTTCAGTCAAATTTCTGTTCAAATATTGTCTCCTAAAAGAGGCTTGCCCTGATTCTCTGATCAAAAAAGACCTCTCCTACACTTTAACTCTCTATCTGTTTAGCCAGCTTGCCATTTTGACATTGCTTCTTATAAATGCCTGGCAGTATGGCATATCTTTTCTGTCTTCCCCACAGGAATGTATTCTTCATGAGGCTCAGGAGCTTTTTCGTTTGCCTTAGTATTCCCAGTGCTTGGCACATGGTAAATGGTCAATAAATGCTATTATTTGGTGGACTCTATTCAGGGATACCGTAAAGGGAAATTCTATAGTATTTTTATATTTTGGGGAGCTTCTTTTTCCATTTTCCACTCCTGTCCTTAGCTCCTTCCCTGCTGGGGTTGCTGTGAGAACCAGAATGGCTGGCAAGGGTAGCAAAAATGCAGACAGAAGGGCTGGGGGCAGAGGAGAATGTTCCATTTGTGGCAGTGGAACTGTGTTAGCCCTGAATGCTATTCTTATGGAAATTTTTACCCTTATCCCTGCAACACGTTCTAACCACATGGCTGTCTCAATTGCCAGAGTTCAAGCTCTTGGGAGTAGAAGTCTTTGAAGCTAGGAGAAAAATTTATAGAATTTGGATCATATGTTATTTGTTCAGCTTCAGTTACAAATGACTTAGCAAAACAAAGTTTAAAGTTCCCAACTGAGCATTTAAAATAAAAATAGAATTTTGCAGAGAGCATAACACCTTTCATTGCAAGAAGGAATAAGCAAGCAATGAGCCTTTTCTGGAAAATGGTATGACAGAACAATCCAAGGTGACTGGAAATTTTAGTGGGAAACTACAAAATTCTAGCTACTGATGACCTCCTTGCTTTTGCAATGCTGAGAGATGGTCAGCAAAGTATATGCTTAGCTACAAATAATTCTTAAGTTCTGATGTGTCTAAGGAGTTGAGTGGGAGGGAGTTGCTTCATAGTGGTTATTTTAACTCCATACATTGAAAGTTTATTTCCTTGTACTTTTGTAAGTTAAAGGAAAGCCTCATTTTTCCACCACTTTGCTCACTTTATTCTTGGCCACAAATGAGCAATTATAAGAGTCAGCACTAATGAAAATAATAAGAGTGACTTAAATCATATATTCAGGAGAGACCACAATTAGACCTATCAGCCATCTGATATGGAAGGTTATAAAGCCATAACAAGAGGTCTAAGTTTCTATTCCTTCTATTTTCAACCCTGCTGCACCATTGCACATGCCATTCCTACTCCTGGGAATGCTATTTCTCCCAATCTGGTGAATTAATCTCATGTGAAGTCTACTCAGTTGTCATTTCCATTGTGCAGCCTTCCTTGACCATTTTTTCCTCCCAAGTAGGGTTAGTTACTTTCTCCTCTAAGTCCCCACAGCACTTCTTTTTCATGCCTCTATTATAGACCCAATCACACACTGTAAATAAGATTTTGTTTGTACCCTTTACTCAATTATTAAGTCGTCCGGGGTAGGGACCAACACCCTGTTTATTCTTATGGTCTCTAGTGTTTAGCACAGTAGCTGGCCCGGAAAGTGAATAGGTGAGTGATGTCAGTCATCCATAATGTACTTTGATCAACTATCACTCCAATTTTATAACCAAATTCTCACATGGCACATGGCCAATCTCAGCCCGAGGCTGCCCCTTTGCCCATGAATGAAGTCCTTGTAGGAGAGGTCTTCCTCTGCAAGTCTCTGGAATGAAATTGCATGGGGCATCCCAGGTGGCAGAAGTCACTCTGATTCCTATTGGCATGATGGATCATTGCTATTAGGTACATTGCTGTGTGCTTCCTCCCATTTCGGTGACTTCTTAGCAGACCCTAAGGGCTTACTATTCAACCTGCTCCAGATTCAAAGCTGTGGTTGACAGGAAGCTTGAGTCTGCTTCTTGGTGTTCTCTGCCTATCTTTGATGACACACCTATTCTGCTGAGATCAACCAACAGCAGCATGGAGCAGCTCGTCCTGCTCCTTGAAATAAATTTCCCTGTTGTTTTGAGTCTGCCTTTTCAAAAGAGTGACCAGATGTCTTTGAGTGCCTCAGGCAGGCTTGGCACCAGAAGACTCTGCCATTGATCCCAGTGTAACTCCATCAGGATGCTGGGCCAAGATGCTGGATCAGGCTCTCCTACCTGCCCTGAGTTTGGGGACTTTTCCAACACAGGCTGAGTTCTTGGACATATGTCTAGGGCTTAGTAAATCTGCACTTGCTAATTTATCAACAGGCCCTTAAACAAACTAACAAAACCTCTCTAAGATCATCTTGTCATGCGGTGGAGATAGAATTAGGTCAAGTTCATTATTTCAGAACCTGGCATCATGCTTTCACCAAGTAGGTGGAGAACATATTCATGCTGAGCTGGTGTTGAGCCTGGGAGCAAGGAGCTGAGGCACCCTCCCCAGAGTGACAACAATTAATCATGTTCATTCCTGTTAAAATTAATGGGTGTACCCTTGGAAGACTCAACTGTCAACCAGCCAAGTCAGCGTACTGGTACCTCAATTGCAAATGTGGCTTCTGATTCTTGGTTTCTTAATCTGAAAAATGTGAGAAATTAGTAGTTCACTGGAGGTATTCTTAAGAATACTGTTATTGCTCCTATGTGCTGTGTTTTAGGATCCCCAAGCCCCATGGATAGATGATGGAGTTCAAATGGCACAAAACAGAGCAACAGGAGCCCTGACTTCCAGGTTGCTGCTGCCAACATCTAGCAGTCTGGCTTTGTGATAGCTGCTTACTTTTCTGGGCCTCACACTCATCTTGTAGAAGGTGAGAATTCTTTCCACCTCTGGTAACTCAAGCACAGAGAGATCACCAGGAGCACCAGGGATTCTGATGTTCTGCCTGCACATGTAAGCTGCCCCTTAACAAACAAGCTTCTGGGAGTACCATTTCCACAGACTGGAATCCAATGGTGTCCCTGAAATTGTGAGACAAAAGCGTATATCAAAGCCTGATTATTTTTCCCTTGAAAAGAGACGTCTATTTTAAACTTCATAGCTAAAATTAAATGGATAATGATGTATAAATCAAGAAGCAAAGATCATTTTGTAAAAAGAAATCTGAATACTGCATACCCCATAGCAAATAATGTTCAGGGAAACATAGCTACCTCAAACATCATAGCATATATATGTGCTTCTCCCCATGGTACCAGCGGTTTTCTTCTTTCCCAAGATCCTCCAGTGTTCAGAGCTATCTTTGTTTCCTTTCCCGGTCTTTTCTATCCAATCTGCTGTTGATCCTTATGTGTTGTTACTGTCTTCATTTCTGATATCAGCCTTTGTCATTTCTTTCTTATTCTTTCTTCAAGTTTTCCCTATTGTAATATAGAACAACTACGATATCTTTTGTTTTTTTCTACTTTTAGTATCTTTCCTTTCCAAGCCATATCACATGCTACTGCCAGATAAATCTTCACGAAGCACAGCTCTGACTAAGCCCAAGCCCAGATCTTACATTGGCCCTCACTGCCTACCAGCAGTGGTTAATACTGTGGGCTGTTCAGACAGACTCTTTGGGGTAGGCTCTTGACTCTGCAGCTTGTTAACTGTGCTCTTGCATAAGTTGCACCCCTTCTGCAAGCCTCCCTTTCTTCTTCTGTAAAGTATAATTAATTTTTGTTTTTTTGAGACAGAGTCTCACTCTGTTGCCCAGGCTGGAGTGCAGTGGTGCGGTATCAGCTCACTGCAACCTCCGCCTCCTGAGTTCAAGCGATTCTCCTACCTCAGCCTCCAGAGTAGCTGGGGTTACCCGCACCTGCCACCATGCCCAGCTAATTTTTATATTTTTAGTACAGACAGGGTTTCACCAAGTTGGCCAAACTGGAATCGAACTGCTGACCTCAGGAGATCCACCCGGCTTGGCCTCCCAAAGTACTGGGATTACAGGCATGAGCCATGGTGCGGGGGCTAGAATTAATTATTGATCCAACATTAGAGAGTGGTTATAGAGTTTAAATGAGGAAATATATGCTTTAAATATAGTAATTGTCACTGGCTGCTAGCTGCTTTTTTTTTTTTTTTTTTTTTTTTTTTTACCATTGGTCATTGGTACATGGCTCTTCAGAATCAGGCCTCAATATTTCTGCCCAAACGTCTGTCACTAACTCCCTTTATGTCACCTTTGGGGGTCTGGATTGTTCACTTTTCCTTATAGTATACTCAGGTATTCCTACCTCTGTACTTGAAGACATATAGGACTTTACACCTGATTCCTTACTTACCCATGGTTAGATCAGTCATTTAAAAAAAAAAAAAAACATGGAAAATTTCATATATATGCCAAAAAATACAGAGAAGAGTGAACATTCATGTACCCATCACCCAGCTACTGCAGTGAACCAGTACATAGCCAATCCTGTTTCAGCTTCACCCCTAAATGGATTATTTTGAACCGGATCCCAGATATTATGCCATTTCATCTACAGATACTTCAGTAAGTAATTCCAAAAGATAAGGACTCATTTAAAGAAACAATCACAATGCCATTACCACTTCTAAAAAATAAAGTCGTTTTTAAATATCAAGGATCTAGTCAATGTTTAAATTTCCACAACTGTCTCGTAAATGTCTGTTAAATATTTTTTATAGTTGGTTTATTCAAATCAGGATTCAAAGTCCACTTATTTTATTTGGTTGCTATGTCTCTTCAAACTATTTTAATCTATACATTCCCGCTCCCTCTTTTCTTTCTTGTAATTTATTTCTTGAAGAAACTGGATCCTTTGTCCTGTAGAGTTTCCCCACAGTCTGCTTTTTGCTGATTGCATGCCATGGCATGGTTTAGTATGTTCTTCTGTCTTTTGTATTACTCATAAATTGGTAGTTAGGTCTACAGGCTTGATCAGACTCAGGCTTAAAATTTTTGAAGAGAATCCTTCATAGGCAATGTCAAGAAATATTTTTTAATCATTGAGTCCTGGGCATGGTTCTTGATGTGCGGGGGGCATGAGTCACCTCACCCACCACAGGTTGCATACTCTTCCTCACCGTCTACGGCAGTATTATTTTCTTGAGAATAAGTTTTTGCCTGGCATCAGCACTTTGTAGGTGTGAGTCTTCTTTTCCTCTTAGTGATGGCTAAATTCAGGTGTCTACTTGACTGGATTAAGGGATACTCAGATAGCTGGTAAAGCGTTATTTCTGGGTATGCCTGTGTGGATGTCTCCGGAAGAGATAGAGTTGGTGGATTGTGTAAGGAAGACCCACCTTTGGCCAATGTGGATGGGCTCCATCCAGTTGGCTGGGGTCATAGATAGAACAAAAATGCAGAGGAAAGGTGAATTATTGCTCTCTTTTTCTGGAGCTGGAACATCATTCTTTACCTGCCCTTGGACATCAGAACTCCAGGTTCTCCAGCTACTGGATTCTGGGACTGGTTGTCCCCCAGGTTCTCAGGCCTTTAGCCTTGGACTGAGAGTTACACCACCTACTTCCCTGAGTCTGAGGTCTTTGGACTTGCACTGAGGATGCTACCAGCTTCCCTGGTTCTCCAGCTTGCAGACAGCCTACTGTGGGACTTCTCAGCCCACTTCCCCATCCCAGCATGAGCTGATCCCCCTAAGAAATACACTCTCATCATCTCTCTCTCTCTTTCATTTTATATATATATATATATATGTATGTGTATGTGTGTGTGTATATATATATGTATACATATGTGTATGTATATCCATCCTCTTGGTTCTTCTCTCTGGAGATCCCTGACTAATATACTCTCCATGTGGAAATCAACTTTATAAACATCTTTTTCTCCATCACCCTGAACCTGCCTACCGAGGTTTTAATAACAAACAGCAGTAAGAACCACGCTAAATAACTAGTTACCTTTTTGATGCTTAGCCTGTGCCAGGCACTGTGCTAAGACTTTAGCATGCGTTATCTCATATCATTTCACAAGAACCTTATGACAAAGGTATTTTACTATTCTCGTTCCAGAGATGAGAACACTGAAATCAATAATTTAAGGACTTCACTCAAAGAACTTGTAAGTGATGTTCCGAATCATTGGGACTGATCTTTAGAGTTGGGTCCTTACCTATTACAGTGATGCAGCCCTGTGGAAAACGCCATTCCCTTTCCTACCTCTATGAGAAACCCCCCTAATTTTTCCTTGTAAACTGGGGTGCTGAGTTACCTAGGTGTTAGCAGAGCTTTTCCATTAATGGGTGAAGGTGTTGAAAGTATAAAGTCAGTTTTGAAAAATGCCTTGAGAGCTGTAGCTTAAAAGAGACTGCAGTATAGTAGTCAAGAGAGGAGGCAGCCGGGCGCGGTGACTCACGCCTGTAATCCCAGCATTTTGGGAGGCCGAGGCAGGCGGATCACGAGGTCAGGAGATTGAGACCATCCTGGCTAACATGGTGAAACCCTGTCTCTACTAAACATACAAAAAAAATTAGCCAGGCGTGGTGGCGGGCGCCTGTAGTCCCAGCTACTCTGGAGGCTGAGGCAGGAGAATGGAGTGAACACAGGAGGCGGAGCTTGCGGTTAGCGGAGATCGCGCCACTGCATTCCAGCCTGGGCGACAGAGCAAGACTCCGTCTCAAAAAAAAAAAAAAAAAAAAAGAGGAGGAGGCTATGAGTGTGACCGTTTGGAGTAGAATCCTAACTGCAACCTGCCAACTGTGTGACCTCGGGCAAGTTACTTAGCCTCTCTGTGCCTTAGTTGCCTTATAATAAAATATGCATAATAAATGAAAGCGCTTAGAACAATGCCTAACACATACTACACATACTAATCACTCAGTAAATGTTACCTGCTACTGCTGCTATCTTCTTGCCATCACCATTCAAAGTATTTAAACAATTACCAGAAACAAACAAATAGGTTTAAAATAACATTTTCTATCTCATGCTGCAAAAGGCCACCCCCCATTTCCTTTAACCATTTACTTCATTTCATTTCTTTTCCTCATAAGAAAAATGAAAAGTATAGAGTTTTCTCCCCACCTGCTCCCCCACCACACACATTTTAATTAAGGTATCTTTTGAGAAGGAATACTTTAATCCAAACTGATCACTCTGATACTCGAAGAGACACATTTGGAGGCTACTTGGCGAGGGGGAATTAAAGACAGAGAAGCTGAATAAATAGCAAGCAAAATGTTAATGTTTTGGCTTTGTGGTGTCTGCATCTGAGAGCACTCCACGCAGATTTTCTTGGCCGGCTCCAGCTGGAAGCCTCCGGTGGCTCCTTTTGTGTGCGCGGGAGCCTGGCTGCGTATTGCCGCTCTGCCCCTAGAGGTCAGTCTGATCCAGGGATTGTCCCGAATCCGCGCAGCTCTGGACCCGAGAGGAGAGGCTCAGGGAGAGGACAATGAGGCTGCCAAGCGCCAAGCTTGGCCTGGGCGAGAACCCGGAGCTGCGCGAGCACGGTGGCCTCGGTGCGTACCCCGGCTGTCCCCGCCGCGCCGGGCGGCCCTGCCCCAAGTTTTCTTTACTTTCTCAACGCGGGTTTGCCAAAGTCAGAAAAGGTCGGGATTTTTCTTCAGCGTTATATGACTGGGGTTAGCTTGACTTTGTAATGGTAAAAAGAAAAGAAAAGATGAACGTAAATGGCTTAGTGATATTTTCTAATGAACAATGATTTTTGCTTGTGCTACATTCAACTGACTGCAACCAGGAGCCAGACGGCCTGAGACCTGTGAGGCCTTTTCCATCAAGAAACCAGATTTCGTTTCACAAGAAACTGAAGCCCAGGGAAGAAAAACAACCAAAACTCTGTTGAAGTCACTTGAAAAAAAGTCTCAACTCAGGGTTATTTCCACTATACATAATCTTATTATTTAAAATATGATGAATGATTATTGGCATAAGGCCTTGAATTGGCATAAGAAACAGTTAGGTATTTAGATGGCAAACTAGCATAGCTGGTTGAATTCAGAGGCAGGTTGTGTTCAGATAGGGGAGGAGGGAAACC